TAAGAAAAAAATTATTAAGAATATTTTTATAATTTTATAAATAATCTTGACATTTTTAATACTAAGATGTCTTGATTTTTATCTTTCTTTTTTAGTTCTGTTATACATATATATAAAAAATAAAAATGTACTTATATATAAGTTTTATACATTTTATTTATATAAAATCTCAATAATTTATTTTTTTACTTTTTAATAATTATATATATGTACATATGTGTGCGACACCACCAAAATACAAATAATAATAATAAATATATAAGTTAATAATCATTAATTTTTATTGGTGCATTCTAAAATAGTGGATCTAAACGTTCTAATCTAATCTTCACTTTTTCTTATACAAAATTTCTTCTACTAGCGACTTATAACTTGAGTTGCAAGTACCAATATGTAATGAAATTACGAAATCTAACTAATTTGCTTTAACAATCGATTCCAAAGATAAACAATAATGGATTGATGAGAAACGAAACAATGCCATGCCACTCTTGCAATTAATTTTTGGGATACTCTTTCTAATTTATACAATAACATAACAAATTAACACATTGATAACACAACCTTATGCATCTAGCTTTATAGGCCAAATTATTACAAATCATATTGAATGGTGCATCCTTTAACTTTTAATTTGACTTTAAATCCATTCTTCCTAAAAAATTATAACTTTTTCAGAAATTTAAAAAAGAAAAAAAAGAAAAAAAGAAAAAAAAAAAAGATAACATAACCTTATAGTAATAATTTTATTAATTCTTTTCACCCATTGATAATAAATTGAAATTTGTTGATAATGATTGTATAAATTAATGAGATATATAAAACCGATTTGTACTCAATTATTTAATAATATATGATTGTTATAAACAAATATTTTCAATAAGGCATTTTTATTAATTAGCAAACTTTTAATAAACGAAGCACATTACGAACAATCCCATACATTACAAAACAAAATATAAAACAATCCCACACATTACCTTCAAGCTATATAACAAGCTATAGAATTATTTAAATGGATTTCTAGGGATCAATACTCCTTCACAGAATAACAGGATCCACCAGTAACAGTTCAATATGGGCCTTCAAAGTGTGAGAGTTTGTATAGCTATCACCGTCTTTATATATGAAATCTATCACACGAGCAAAATTTAGAACCACGGTGAGTATAGGCATAGGAAAGATTGTTGGTTTCATGAACCCTTCATTAATATCTTTCCAAGCATTTGCAACATCTTCCTGAAATAACTTCACAGTCTCTTCCCTTGAAACACCATATTGCTTCATATAGCATTCAACACCTGATGCAACATGATCTCGTGTTTGCTCAAACTGCATTTAGTTGGAAAAGAAATTAGTTGTTAACTCCCGTGAGTGTTTAAACAAGTACCGAAGCTAAGTAACCACATAATTTAAATTTGTAATCAATAAGAACCAAGCATTATGCATACCTCATGTGAGACAATATCATCCATGAGTCTACAGATAGTTGTGGAAGCTTTAAGTATTTTAGGGTCATTAGAGATCCAATGAAAGGCCTCCTTGGTTGCAACTTCTCCCATGGCAACATAGGAATTTGTTATGAGCATTGGATAACCAGAGGAAATGAGGGCAACCTGCATATACTCCTCTATAGTTGGAACATAGTTCTCTTGGCGCCACTTGGCGCCACTTGGCTTCATCAAGGTAAGCTTTCATTGTTTTTTTCATCTATTCATAAAATTAAGTTATCCACATGAAAATAACATATAATCCAAAATCCCCAAAACATGAATTAAATCATTAATATGCTAATTAGTTACTTACCGACTCTTTTGCATAATCTAT